ACATAATGTTCTGTCTCAAAAAATGGTATTGTCTAGATACCATAAAGGAGACGTCAGCACAATTATAGTTTAGCATGAAATGCATGTGGACCCGTTTTTTTGTAAATATCTCTACATCCAATGATTCAATCGATCTCAAACTGTGCAAGTGGACGTTTTGTCAGACAACCTAATCACATTGTAAATCACCGATTTTATGCATTTGTATTAAAGAATCTCTCTATGTAACTGTCAACAAAATAAACAGCAGAACGCAGACTGCTTGCAGAGGGAGGGAGCCAATGACCTGTAACAGCGGCAGTGTTGGGTCATAAAGGTCAATGCACGTGCAGTTCATGATAGTTACCTGTGCACTGCACAGTGATAGACCGTTTGGTTCATTCACATTGACTACTTCTAGCTGTCATCATGAAAGCTTATTCAGATGATGCTAAAAGTTAAACGTTTAATTAGAAATGTGTTGAATTTTTAAAAAAAAGAGAGCAAACGTAGCAAACCGATTTAAAAGGTGTCGGATTACATGAAACGTACAACTTTTTCTCTTGGCATGAAAAATAACATCGTGCTAAAAATTGTGAAAAATATACCAACAACCAATAAAGAAAACCTTGTACAAAAAGGTAGGCATCATTAGTTAGATTCTTGTGACATCAGGGTCATCAGAGATGTCATTCGCCGGCTATTTGCTAGAAATGGACACCTGGCCACAATAAAGTTAAAACACATCCTTGCAGAGGATCACGACATTAATGTTTCTAGGTTTATGCTAAGCAAACTACTGCTCAAATTTGGATACAAGTACAAGAAGGTAGCAAACCAGAAACTTGTAATGTGTGAGAGATCTGATATTGTGAAAATAAGATGTAACTATCTGAGAGAAGTTAAGCAGGCAAGAGAGGATGGGTTCGAACCTATATATCTGGATGAGACCTGGGTCAATGCAAACCATACTGCTGCCAGACAGTGGCTACCCACTGATCCCAGTGATGGTAGGAAAATACCAACAGGCAAAGGAGATCGTTTAATCGTTCTTCATGCTGGTTCCCACCGTGGATTCCTACCTGAGTGTGATCTGGTATTTCGGTCAAAGAGCACAGATGGTAGGGACTATCATACAGAAATGAACTCAACGGTTTTCACACAGTATGTTGAGGAACAATTGTTGCCAGCTCTGCCTTACAAAGGTCGTGTTGTCATGGACACTGCTCCCTATCACAGTGTTCGAGATTCAAACAATAGGTGCCCAACTTCCAATACAAAGAAGTCAGATATGCAGCAATGGCTAACAAATAACAATACACAATTTTCAGTTAAGGCCACTAAACCACAGTTGTACTCATTGATTAAACCTAACAAACCTCCACCCACATATAACATTGACAACATGCTACGCCAACACGGCCATAAGGTCTTGAGATTACCACCGTACTACTGTGGTCTCAACCCAATCGAACTTATCTGGGGAGACCTTAAAAGTACAGTGGCCCGGAAAAATCAATCATTCAAGTTGAATGATGTCAAGCACATTGTCAACACTGCTATATGTGACATTGACATTGCACGCTGGCATGCATGTGTTGAACATGTCAAGAAGGTGGAGAAAGAGTACTGGCTCAAAGATGGCTTGAAGGAGCAAACAGTTAATCCAGGTGTCATTCGTCTGGACACTGATGACTCCTCTGTGAAAGAATGGAGTGAACTTGATGAAATTTAATTCTGTTATTATATTTACAAATAATAATAGTATCCAGCCAGATATGCTCAAAGACATATCACTTTTTTTAACAATGACAGCACTGACTAATTCCAACGACTTATAGTGTTACATGAAACACTCATTTCACATAAAATTATCATGAAAATATAAATATTAACTGTCTATATGCTTAAAGCTATTAGAAATGCATTGCTAAATTTGGAATGTGAACGACATCAAAACATAACACTTTTGTCTTCATTCTATCTTTTCCTCAATGAGTGTGCATGATTGTGTGTGCTTGTGTCCGAGGGAACGGGGCTTTATCAGTTGTTGAGTTCTAACCATAGGTGGTCCGATTAATGATTTAGTGTAAATATACTTTCTGTGTTCTTTAAATGCATTTCCACTTAGGTACTGCATAAACAAAATGTGACATTAACACTGCAAATTTAAAGATTTTAACCTGCAGAATAATTCTCACTAATGGGTTTTGTGGTTAATGTTGAACAACTCAGAGAAACAAACTCCATATGATGGTGAACAGTTGGCACCCACCTTACCCTATTCACGACCTGTGACACCTCTTCATACCTGTCACGTGCATAGCTGACCTACATTGACGAACGTTGACCTTTATGACCCAACACTGCCGCTGTTACAGGTCATTGGCTCCCTCCCTCTGCAAGCAGTCTGCGTTCTGCTGTTTATTTTGTTGACAGTTACATAGAGAGATTCTTTAATACAAATGCATAAAATCGGTGATTTACAATGTGATTAGGTTGTCTGACAAAACGTCCACTTGCACAGCTTGAGATCGATTGGATCATTGGATGTAGAGATATTTACAAAAAAAACGGGTCCACATGCATTTCATGCCAAACTATAGTATTCATTTGGGCACACGTATACATTGGAAATCTTGATGGGGATATAGAAAAGACAGAAGAATAATCTCTTCTTCATGATATGGATTGACTTTGAAACCATGAAGGCATGTCTTTACCGCTTTTGTATTGGATTCCAAAGCTACATATAAATCCGTAGAAAGAGAGATATATTGCTGTGTTCAGTAAATGTACCACCAAATCACTGTTTCAAAGAGTTCGTTCTGTCAAAAATTATATTTTTCAACTTAGGATACCACTATCACACATGATAAACCTAAGGAAAAAAACTTCATTCCTTGATCCATAGAGCATTTGTAAACAAACGTGGTGAAGACAGATATACATACACATCTATCTTCGGAGGTTCAGAACAATTTGTAAAAAATGAAACTTTAGCAAATGTCCGAAAGGCAATATGTGAAATGCTGGACTTTCTCATTTATAACATGTTTGTCAATTTTGGGTAAAACATTTAAAACAGTAGGCATACCCGTGGACACCAGTTATAATTATTATAGGATATTTATATAGCGCACATATCCACGCAACTAGTGCATGCTAAAGGCGCTAGTATTTTTTCTCCCTCGATCATTGGATCCCAATCTCAACGGCATATCGTATTATCAATCTCAACTCCCTGGGGAGTATACAACTCTTGCAGCCACTAGGCACACCGAGTTATTGTGGCTTTCTCATCCTAACGAGGTACCCATTCACAGCTGGGTGGACTGGGACAAACAGTCACAGTACTTTGTCCAAGTTTCACTGCACGTTGCTGTGACCACAACTAGGTGTTTGCACCATCTGGTCATATACCAACGGATTTTGGGGTTCTTTTAAGTGCACAGGGTTGTGTACTGTACACTAGGGGCTGTGACAACACGGAAAGAGTCTGTACACAAAGTTGACTCCAAGGTTTTTTACACCCAGTCTCAGGTGGGCTCGATCCCGACACCTCAACCTCGCTCTTGTGCTCAAATCCTTGCGGATCTGTTTCTTTATGCATGAATCAGAATTTCTGCTTTGGGTTGGCAAAATCAAAACAGGGTATTTTGGCCAAGAAGTTTAACTTAAGCATCAGGTATATCGATGATCTGATATCGTTCAATAACCATCAAATAGCCAATTGCCTTCCACTGATTTACTCGTCATATGAGCGAAATATTCTCCAAGTATGACGTTAAACCTAATTTCACCTCACCTTCACCTCCACTGATTTACCCACCTGAACTGGAAATTAAAGAGACATGTGAGACTGCCTCAACATTTTCATATTTAGACCTATGCATAAAGATTCAGAGTGACAAAAAACTGTCCACAAGACTGTATGACAAAAGGGATGATTTCCTTTCATGTCAAGCAAATTTCCAACAGCTCCAGCCTTTGGTGTTTACATTTCACAAATTTTTAGATTCAGTCGAGCATGCTCTTTTAACCAAGATTTCGAAGAGCGTCATGCCACTCTTGCTCAAAAGTTGTTTGATCAAGGTTACAACTTTCAAGGCCTCAGTAAAGCTTTAAAAAAGATATTTTTAAATGTGGATGGCATTTCGAAATTTGATGCATCAGTGACAAAAATGATGTCCGATGCAATTCCCTATTTTGACTTGTACCATACGTTTATTTTCTATTTCAGTTGAACAACTGACTAGACTTTGCATAAGTTTATGACGGGTGCCACCGGTGGGGCAGGATACGCTCACCTTTTTGCGAACACCTGGTATCATCACTATTTCATAGTGATTCATAAACACATGCTCTGTCTTCGTATCGCATGATAATCACTGGGTTGTCTGGTCCAGACTCGATTTGTTTACAAACAACATCGTACAGCTGTAGTACTGCTAAGACAAAAATACACTCATGATTTCGTCACAAAATAGTACAATCGACTTTTGGGGATCGAGCATTTCTTATGAGTGTGGAAACGGTTTTGTCCCTTCTATCCATATGGATTCGAAGCTAAATTCATAGGCAGACACTCTAATTCTCAATAAAAATGTATGATAGAATGATCAAGATGACAGAACTGAAACTGTTCAAGAAAACGGACTCCCATGGGCAAATCGCTCCTTGCACGCGCTGTCCGAGGTAACAATGTTGTGTTTGGGAGGAAGACTTCTTCAGAAATGTTCTTGTCGCATAAATCACTTACTTACATTTCCAAATATTGGTTTATGTTCGTTTAGATCCACATGAAAACAAAATACTCCGATTTTTCTGAGAAGCATGTAACTTACGTTTGTCAAAGGCTATAAGAAATATAGTTCCCATTCTCACGTGTCCTCCAGGTCATCCAGACACGAACCACGGTGTGAATAAGCACAAATCCGTGTCCTGTCACTCACGCGGGTTGTTTCACATAGCCCATGAATCATCATAAATAATTTACAATGAACAATACGTTTACAAAGAAGGTCACTCCAACAGAGGCCGAGGAACATACCTGTTGGTTAATCCGAAGGTAGGTTACAATCATTTTAAAATATTTTGACGTTTCCATTTTAACAAAACGTAGTAAAAGGTAAAGTGATCGGGACATTTGGTAGACCTAGAAAGCTGTTCAATCTATATTTTGTTAGATATTTTGTTTTGACAATGTATAAAAACTAACAGTCATATCTGGAAGATTCAGAGTACCCTGTGGTTGGTTCCATACATGACACTCATGAAGTTTTTTTTATCCACTTTACCTTACAAAACAAGCTAAACGTGTCAAATCTAACCAAAGCGCAAGAAAGCAGCAACGGGACAATGTCCCTTCTAGGATTCCATACAAACGGCATTTAAATCACGTCAAATCGTGATTCATTGATACTACAGCTTCTTAATGCCAATTCAAGATAGTTAATAATTACAATGCCTGCGGAATGGGAACCAGACAGCGGAGCATTGCCTCTCTTTAAAAGTAAAGTTCTTTGAATCAAAGTTAATATTAACTCATGTATGTAAACTGTTGAGCAATATTTACTCCTTTCCAAATTAGCATCATATTCAAGATGCTGTACCTCTATTTGATTAAAAACAAACTGGAAATATCAGGTTATAATCTAATTGAATCCTTGACATTGATATCGCGTATGCTTATGTATATATAATCTATTTTACATGTAGCCTACATATAACCTATGCCCATGTCAGTACAATGGGAAGAGGTCATGTCACTGTGACATGCGTGTCGTAATGGATATGCATGTAGAAATATCCATTGTAACATCAACAGTGAGGATGCTCTGCCTATGAACTAGACGATGTCGATGCAGTTCATTGCACCTGATCGAGACCACATGGTCAGAAGGGACCTCAGAAAGCCTCTGTTGTTCTATGGCCTCGTTACCAGCGTGGTGAGCCTCTGTGTGGGGATTCTTCTTGGGAGGTACGCCATCTGTCCCGAGGAGAACCCTTCCACAAATGTCGCAAAGAACGGAACCTTCCTTCCTGGCATACCCGACTCCATAATCAAAGATGGCGATCCTGAGGTAACGGAACGACTTGTGAATGAAATCAGTAAAAAAAACATCGAAGAATTTCTCAGGTAAGTATATGATTATTTGTATATTCATTTTGGTGTAAAAATGCCTAGTTAATATATTGAGGTACACGTGGATGAAAGCAGAAATATGCCTGTCATAACCTTTCTGAATGAAACATTCTTAATGTATACTACCCATCAAAAGTTTAGACTCACTTAAAGCACTCACTATATGTTATGTATATATATACGGTTACATCGAAGATGAATTTCTCCACTAACTAAGGGGAACAACTGCAAACCTTATGCAGATGAATTGCACGAGGATCATGCATCAGTTTTCTGAAAAGCATGTGCAAATATCGTGCAACTACGTTTCTTGCTTTCTTCATAAACGTCTGGAGTGAAGGTTTCGTATTTCAATTATACGAGTGAAACTCTCATACAAAACGATCAGGATAACGATCGTCATTAAACAGCAAATGAGACCCTGATAAAACCATTGATCATGTTTTCCACAGACACATAACCTTAAAACCTCACGTGGCGGGGTCAGAAAACAGCCTTGACCTTGCGAAATGGATGAAGGCTAATTGGCAGGAGTGGGGTTTTGACGACGTCAAGCTAACGCCCTATGACGTTCTTCTTTCCTTCCCCGACGCAAACGCGCCGAATGTGGTTCGTGTCCTCGACGACGCCGGAAGTGTTGTTTACGAGTCTCCTCTTAAGGAAGCCAACTTGACTGGAGAAGATCACCCTGATGCGCTTCCGCCATACAATGCCTACTCCCCAGCAGGACTTATTCAGGTGACATCAATGTATTTATTTTGGCATAACATAGACAGGTAGATCTGATAAAATCATTGCCCTCCTTTACTTCATACAAGTACTGTTGAAATTGGAGGGACCTTCATAAATACTTCATGTAATCCGGGGTTCGATACAACCGCGATATTACTAAATATAGAATACGTAGGGACCTTACGAGACAATCGTACGTTCGACACATCAAAGAGCTACACAACAGCGACTACAAGACAGTGTTACATGTAACATTCAAGTTTCTGTAAAATATTTGTTAGGGCATCAATAATGTATGTATCTTTGTTGTACCTGGAAATATGCTTTGTTCTGCCCGCATTAAATTTTCCACAGTGTCACAAGGACCAGCTTCTCCTTCAAATTTACTTAATCTAAATCGCCATAGAATTACTTTTAAATGTCAAATTGATCATAGCAATGTTTTATTTTTTGTTATAAGTTGAATTATCTTTAGACTACTGCCGTGAAATTTGCAAGGTATCAGACAATTTAAATAAATAAACAATTAATATAGATATTACCTACTATCTTCTTTATTTAACCAGAAATAGCAAAATCCTTACTATAGAAGTGTATTTTTCAATTTAATTGCCAATGTTTCCCGTTTACTGCCGTCTAGCAATTTATTGCATACGATTAGTTCTTTATAGACGAATTAAACGAGTGTACGTGGAGGATACCCATACCGCCTAATTTTCAGAGTAATAAAATCGCATAATGCATAATTATCTAAGTATATGTACCCATACCACCTACTGGCCTATCCCTACCTAATAGGTAAACCGTTCGTTAGCAATCCAGTTAGAACTCGTTTAATACACGTTTTTTCCATTTTACTTTTGATATGGCGGTTTATATAGAGATAGATGACACATCCGTGTATCATTTCTAACACCAAAATCAGTTGTTTCTTCTGAAAACATCTGTTATGACAAATGTCTTAATTATTCAACGTTTGTCTTTAATATAGCAGTTTAAAAATAGAATTTGTACAATGCATTTTGCGCTCTCATGTTACTAAGAATGGTACGTTTTTGAGAATGTAACCTGGCTTGAAAGAAATCATGAAAATTTGACTTCATGATGGTTTAAAACGCGGTTTGTGAAAATGTCCCAGATTGAACACATGCATTCGTGACTCACAGAATCGCCACTAAAATAAATAGAATTGTGTTTTATAAATTTTCATTGCAGGTAAAAGTCTTTGGTATAACACATGGTTATTACAGATGGTTATGAAGCATACATTGTTCACTGGAAGCACTTTGATATACTAGTGAGGTAACGCCCACGTCAATGGGGTTGGAGTCATATTCATTTGTCCCACATTTTGACAATACGAGCCATTCATATGTCAGCCCTGATTCAGGTCAGTACAGTACGTAAAATTTACAACGTTGCTGACACAGTGTGGAGTTGACAGTTATAACATGCATTGTTATTGTGACCTACTTTCCAGTGATTTGCTGCAAGTGCTTTCTGTGGAGTACAAAATGAATCGCTTTTCAATGTATGAGCCCCATGCTCATAACTTTTAACTATGTTCATTTTAAAATTGTCATATATGTTTATTTCGTTGAAGTTTAAACGTATAGTGAGTGAGTATTGTTTTATGAAGCTTTTAGCAATATTCCAGCAATATCACGACACCACGAAATGGGCTTCATACATTGTACCCATGTGGGGAGTCGAACCCGGGTCTTCAGCGTGACGAGCGAACGCTTTATATTTGGCTTCCAAACCGCCCCTTACACGTAAAGCAATATAGAAATACTTTGCTTGTTTTTCGACAAACCTGACTTTGTCCGCTTTCCTCAGACCGGTCTATCAATGAAAATGCAACACTATTCAATAGTCACAAGAAAACTGAACTGTTCTGTTGTTTATTTTCATATTATCATAATTCTATTTCCTCTCTGTAGGGGGACATGGTGTATGTGAACTATGGACGGATTGAGGATTACAACTGGCTGAAGAATAACACAAGTATTGATGTCACGGGCAAGATCGTCATTGCCAAGTATGGCATGATCTTCAGAGGAAGCTTGGCAAGTAAACTTTTCAGTGCTTTAAATCACTGAGTATATAATAATTACTACGCCTTGTCTTGCCGGAAAGTTTTCATCACTGCTGGGGTAAGTCACCATAAGGGACCCATGTTACGTCACTCAGGGAGATTTATCGGGTTAGCGTTATGTGTATATAACTCACTCACTCACTCACTATCTCACTCACTATCTCACTCACTCACTCACTCACTCTCTCAATCACTCACTCACTCTCTCAATAAATCACTGTAGGTCCAGATCGCTGCCGACCACGGGGCGAGTGGTGTCATCATCTACTCAGACCCCAAGGACTATACACTGAGTGGGGCGGCGGTATACCCCGACAGCTCTTACCTTCCCCCATCCGGTGCACAGAGGGGTACAGTCTATGAAGACAATGGGGACCCCCTAACTCCAGGATACCCCGCTACAAGTAAGTGTCAAATATTCCAAAGGAATGCCAAACCCATTACTCTGGTAGGTACTTACTCAATTGTAAATGACAATGTTTCATTTACACGAACTAATGTACATATAACACGTTCTTCTCACACTGATTTTGATATGTATTTCAAGAAAGTGATGAGAATCTGGTCACATATAAACCAAATTATTGTGGCGCGCTTCACATTACCAACCTGTATTATAAAACATGCATTACTGTAATAAACATCTACATTTATGTTCACATTATCAACTTCTATGAAAAAACCGCATAACTGTAACCAACCTCTGTAGTAAAACATGCATGACTGTCGTTAACACCTACTGATATATTCACATTACCAACCCCTATAATAAAACATCTGTTACTGTCGTTAACAACTACTGTTATATTCACATGACCAACCCCTATAATAAAACATGTGTTATTGTCGTTTACAACTACTGTTATATTCACATTACCAACCCCTGTAATAAAACGTGTAATTGTCGTTAACAACTACTGTTATATCCACATGACCAACCCCTATAATAAAACATGTGTTATTGTCGTTAACATCTACTGTTATATTCACATTACCGGCCCCTATAATAAAACATGTGTTATTGTCGTTAACACCTACTGGTATATTCACATTACCAACACCTCTATATATAATAAAACATCTGTTATTGTCGTTAACAACTACTGTTATATTCACATTACCAACCTCTATAATAAAACATGTGTTATTGTCGTTAACAACTACTGTTATATTCACATGACCAACCCCAATAACATCTTTTATTGTCGTTAACAACTATTGTTATATTCACATTACCAACCCCTATAATAAAACATGTGTTATTGTAGTTAACACCTACTGTTATATTCATCTGTTATTATCGTTAACACCTACTGTTATATTCACATTACCAACCCCTATAATAAAACATCTGTTACTGTCGTTAACAACTACTGTTATATTCACATGACCAACCCCTATAATAAAACATGTGTTATTGTCGTATACAACTACTGTTATATTCACATTACCAACCCCTGTAATAAAACGTGTAATTGTCGTTAACAACTACTGTTATATCCACATGACCAACCCCTATAATAAAACATGTGTTATTGTCGTTAACACCTACTGTTATATTCACATGACCAACCCCTATAATAAAACATGTGTTATTGTCGTTAACACCTACTGGTATATTCACATTACCAACACCTCTATATATAATAAAACATCTGTTATTGTCGTTAACAACTACTGTTATATTCACATTACCAACCTCTATAATAAAACATGTGTTATTGTCGTTAACAACTACTGTTATATTCACATGACCAACCCCAATAACATCTTTTATTGTCGTTAACAACTATTGTTATATTCACATTACCAACCCCTATAATAAAACATGTGTTATTGTAGTTAACACCTACTGTTATATTCATCTGTTATTATCGTTAACACCTACTGTTATATTCACATTACCAACCCCTATAATAAAACATCTGTTATTGTCGTTAACAACTACTGTTATAATCACATGGCCAACCCCTACAATAAAACATCTGTTTTTGTCGTTAACACCTACTGGTATATTCACATTACCAACCCCTATAATAAAACATGCATTACTGTTTTAACAGCTACTGCTATATTCACATTACCAACCCCTATAATAAAACATGTATTACTGTTTTAACAACTACTGATATATTCACATTATCAAGTTCTATAGTAAAACGTGCATTACTGTTGTTATAGCCACAGTTATATCATGACCACATGTGTGTTCTAGAATCGGCCTACAGATATACTGAAGACTCTCCTAAGGTGAAACTTCCCCAAATTCCAGTACATCCTATAGGATACGGCATTGCGGAGACAATCCTCGCGTACGTAATATACATTCTGTATCCAAGTTCCTCAAATCAGTTTTTCACATATAGTCTTTCAAATCTACAATCATGTAATTTAATATACGTTTCCCTATCTTTAACTGTTTAGTATATCTCTGTTAGCCTACAGACCGACACATTATTCATCGAATCCCAATCTAAAGGGGAGCTCTTTACCGAGTTCTTGGCTTCTCCAGAGGGGCAAACGTGGGTATTGTTCACTTTCCTGTCAAGATGACAAGCTCTAATATGACATTATGATTGAAACATTTTGTAACCACACTCACTCACTCTTAGGTCAGTGCGCCACAGAGTGAGAAATCAGCCCAAACTCTTTAAAATATTCAGACTATCAACAATGTAATTTTATAGCCTTATCACATGAAAGACTTCACTTTCTGAGAGGAAATGCTAGCTTTACCTTGTACTAGACCATTAACACTTGTATTAAATAATGATTATTATTGTAAAGTACTATCGCGTATTCATCCTATGATGTTAGGTTAGTCCACCACTAGTCGTGTATCGTTGTACATCAGGGAGATGGGTGGCCCAGAGGTCCCCCTTGACTGGCGAGGAGGGATCAACATCACATACAGGCTTGGACCGGAGCTGAAATCACCGGGATGGTATGTTGTATGAGTTATGTAATTACTTGTTTTAGACAAATTGTGTGACTATGCTTTCTTTTTTTTCATCAATGATTTCAGTGATCCACTCTTAAGTGTTTCACAGCTATTTTATCCTTGACACCAAATGGAATCTGTTTCTGAAGAAGCCAAGACTGAGTATTTTTTATATTTATTCATATTCTTTATTTATATATTTATTGCATACAATGTGCCATGGCGGGATTTATCGAGCTGTGTGGCCTTTCATATGAACGTTCAGCCCGTAGTCAACCCACATTTCCACGGCTATTCAGTAAGGGATAACCTGCGTCGCCGCTGTGATAAGGTTAAGTCCAAACAGAAAGAAAACTGTATGTAATCCTTTAGTGAATCACTGTCAGGCTGAATTTTAGAGCCTCGCGTTATATGAGTAGTCAACCTGCAGTATCCAGAGCGATGTAGTCAATGCCATAGTTCGGTGGCCAACTGGCCATATCTGATTTGGTAACTGGTATGTGGGTCAGTCGGGACCAAATGAACTCTATGACGTCATCGTGTCCGAGGACCAACCAACTTCTTTCCATATCTGTAAGGAATTTCTGGTAAAAGTCGATTGTACACCTGTGACTATATCATGAGTTGTATTTGTTTCAGCAGTATTACATCTGTCTGTAAACAAATCGAGTCTGGACCAGACAATCCAGTGACTGTCACCATGCGATACGAAGACAGAGCGTTTGCCACTATGATATAGTGCTGGTACAAGGTGTTCACTAAAGCAATACAAACTTAAGCAATGTTTGTATGTACATACCTTATCATGGCTTTAGCAAAACTTGGGAATTGTTATTTCTGTATCCATGTACAATGTATAATCTAATTTCAGGAAGGTTCAAATCAACATATCCACAACGAATGTGATAAAAACAGTTCACAACGTGGTCGGTACTATTAAAGGTGCTATTGAACCAGGTAACATTAGCTTTACAGCATTCAAACATACAATTCCGGTGGTCAGTAGCGGTGAAAATAATGCTAACATAGTATTAACATGAAAAAGGGGAACCATGACCGATTTGTATAATTAGAGAATGTATACTTCCCATCAAAAGTTTAGACTCACTTAAAACACTCACTATATGTTATGTATATATATATGTGGTTACATCGAAGAATGATTTCTCCACTACCTTGGGGGAACCAACTGCAAACTTTATGCAGATGAATTGCACGAGGATCATGCATCAAATTGCTGAAAAGCATGTGCAAATATCACGTATGTGAACAGCTGCGTTTTGTAGTAAAGTTTTGAAAAGAATTCGCCAATTTTCACTAATTTTTATCATTTATTAAACTCATGACAATAATCTTTTCAACGTTACGAATTTGTTTTACAATACATCAGTTCGTGTGTAAACAGTACCTTTGAACAGTATGGAATATTTTGCAAAATTTAGTTTAGAACAGTTGACTGAAGTAAATGGCTATATTTACACCAGTGAGTCTAAACATTTGATGGGCAGGATACTCTCAACAGGTATCATCACTAACAAAGTGAATCTGCACACAGGCTTAGGACATAGTCGAACAACAGACTCAGTGTTTAGCGTTATTTCATTATTGTGGAAATGGTGATGTCTGTTTTATTCAGATCGCTACGTTCTAATTGGCAATCACCGAGACGCCTGGGTGTACGGGGCGACAGATCCAGGCAGTGGCACGGCCGTGATGATGGAGGTCGCTCGAGTTATGGGAAATATGGCGAAGGCTGGTCAGTAATCTTGTGTACTCATTCGTCTTTTATGAACATACGATGCCCATTATTAAACGGTCAAATGCAACATGACGGGGTTATTTGGGATTAAACTTCAGTTAAGTACAAATTACAGTTCTTCTGTGAAACTATATGAAATAGCCATTTTCCAAAATCGTACCATGTAGAGCTTGTTCAGCTTGACCTGATCAGGTGAATACTAATGCATTGCGTGACCGTGTCACAACTGGTTGGGACTATTATTGTGAAGGGATGCACCTTTGTCAGTTGATTGTCAGCATGTCCGAAAAGCCGAGACAAGGTCGTCGTTTGACATCCCAGTGTGTCGAGAACATGAAATGATTATTTTTTCAGAAGTGTTGTCTTCCGGGACAGGTTCTGTAACGAATCCATGTATGCACGCAACATTAATAACATTCTCTGCTCCCCTATTTAATGAAGTTAACTCGGTCTGTCATTTGTGCCATTTGTCCTCCCGGGTCATGCATTGTACATGTAGAGTAGCTCAGGTCAAGCTGAACAAACTTTGTGTATTTTCTGACATGCTCATATCGAATAGATCAGAAACCAAAATGGAAATGTAATGTCATATTCTGTCACACCCATGGCAATTTACTTGTCTACCACGTCAACTGCTTCCTCTGTCTCCATTATATGAATCAATCCTAAATAATGCTAATTGTATACATTTAGAACACAGCTATATGTAAAGCATCGATAGCCTTGACAGAAGCTGCCAACCCCCTTTGGGTACACAGTATATGTCGGGCCGTTGATATAGTATTCAATTTTAGCAATATGATATGCCAGACATAAATAGATTCAATTTCCTACGTACATTAAAAGTTAAAACTCAATATGTTAATTCTTTAAAGGTTACGGTTTAAGTTCTTTCCTTCTACTGAGAGTAAGACCAGCTGTATCAATCCATAAAGCTATCAATGACAACAGGTATATGGAGGCCCAGGAGATCTGTTATGTTCTGTAGCTGGGCGGCGGAGGAGTACGCTCTCATCGGTTCCAATGAATGGGCGGAGGTGAGTTATTAAAACTATCTGTAGGTTGTTCCAAGATTCATTATGACCATTGACGTGTCTTGATTTTCACCGTACTTGGCAGGATGATCACACCGGGTATCATCACTTAATGATGGTGATTCCTAAATACCTGCTCAAGAAATCGTGAAATAACCTCTGGTCTAGACGAGGCCTCGGTATCGTTGCTATGTATATGCCCAATTAGCATTATTTGCAAACCTTCTTTCAGGATGACTCAGGTTACTACTTATTTCGAAGCACTGCATGTTTTAGATTGTATCGCTTATATTTTTAACAAACAAGTAAACCCTTTTCGAGAAACATTTGTTAATAATTACAGGAATATCGCAAGGCTTTGAGGGAAAGAGCTGTGGCGTATATCAACCTAGACACGGTTGTGACAGGTAGATACTGTATTCATTTATGTGAAGTATTATTCAATAAGTATGCTTGTCACAGAAGGTGGAATTAACACCAAACAAAACATTATAAACATTCCTTTTAAAGCGGATATTATATCATCCTCATGTACCTACGTAAACAGTGTTTGTACGGATAGAAGAACGGTATTCAGAGTGAGTGAGTGAGTTTAATTTTACACCGCTTTTAGCAATCTTCCAGCAATATCACGGCGGGGGACACCGGAAATGGGTTCAACACATTGTACCCATGTGGGGAATCGAACCCGGGTCTTCAGTGTGACGAGCGAAAGCTTTAACCACTAAGCTACCCAACCGGCCCTGGTATTAAGAGGTTTCTACCTGATCATAAGATATTCTACGTTAGTATGTATGTTTACCCATCTATAAACCTGTTTTACACGTGGTGTCTGTACAATCTACACATTTCAGGAAACTATTCTCTGAGTGCGAGGGCGACTCCGCTGATGTATCACGCTGTGTATGAAGCTGCTAAGAAGGTATGACGACGTCTACAGTCATTGAACCGAGTCTTTGAATGACATTTAGAAGTGATATTCCTACGGGGGAAAAGTATATGAATGTGAAATTCTTTATTGTAAGAAACACAATGTTTCTGAGTATATGCGTCCTCGACCATCACCTCATGAAGAAGTAATCGAAATGTTTCTCCAAGGCAATCACTGAATGATTCAATTTGTTTTGTATCGTTTGTTTGTTGTTAAACGACGCACTCAGCAATTTTCCAGCTACATGACGGCTGTCTGTAAATATTTGAGTCTGGACCAGACGTTCCGTTAGTCGCCTCTTACGACAAGCATGGTTTATTGAAGATCAATTCTAATCCGGATCTTCATGGGTCTCTTTAATGATGCAGATGCTTCACAGTTACATCAATATTCGCCACAAATCTAAAGATGTATTTGTCTCATGTAATATTATTTAAATGAGATGTTTCCAAGGTACCCAATCCGAATCGTACAGACACTGAACACCCAACGCTGTATGACAACTGGCTGCTGAAGAAGGAGTGGAAGGATGAGGATGGGAACCATCTGAATATACCCAGGTGTAACGTTGTTTATACACAATAAGTCCATTCACGAGCCGATGTAGTAAAGTCGCGAGCGACAGATCGCTTCTCTATGATTGGTGGGGTTCATTATGTAGTGCAGTACTACGTTTATAACGATATGACGGATATTGGGAACTACTTTATGTATCTCGGCCACTTGCTGTACATTTTATTCGAGCTACGGTTATATCGAACTACAATTAGAAGTATCTTTGAGTTCGTTATATTATAACCCCAGTTTACTGTATGTGAATACTACACGTGTCTGTGTATTCCTACAACATGTGGTCTGAAGCAGAGAAGTTACACCGTGAAGAGGAATGAATCTCTGATGTAGATGGTGATGAGTTTCCTGAGCACTACTGTTCGCCACGACAAATGGCATGGTACCTGAATAGCTGACTATGGAAATTATACTGACGATACCTTTAAAGTTTCTATATTGATAAGAAGTTATTTTCTTAAACCTGTATCGATTGTATGAGTTTATCACGAACATCAATAGGCGATTGCGGCAGGTGATGGTATGCTTCTCTCGTGTTGATGTTGCCATGGCAATATGATGTCATCAACCCCAAAAAAACAACAACAAAAAATACACAAAAAACAAAACCAAAAAACCAACCCCAAAACAACAACAAAACAATAAATATAATTAACCTTCTTGGTCTGACTTGGACATCCAATGACTATACCCTGACGATGATTGCTCACTTTGTCATTAATGCTTCAGGGCCATTTCCTTCCAACAGTTACATGCGCTCAGTCATCAGTAACAGTAGGACATACGTATTCTTTGTACACGTAATGTTTTACAAATACTTTCCCACCTTTCTTAAACATGCCTCCTACTGCAGAGTGTACCTTCATAGCGATTGGCGCTGCAAATAGATGCAAAATGTTTAAGTTGATTTTAGTTGTTTAATAACCAATGGTCTACTCACTTATAAGAATATGTCAAATGGTTATTCTGGAAAACAACGTAGGCAATGAATATTCATTGTATTGGCTTAATTACATGTATTTAAACACCTATTTTCAGTATTGGTTCCCTGGGATCGGGAAGTGATTATGCCACCTTGGTTCAACTCACTGGGATTGCATCTGTGGACTTGGGCATCGGGCCAGACTATGTATGCTTATCAAAATTATGTCATAAGCATGGTGATTATATTTCTTCAGATGTTAATTTATCTGACCAATAATCTGCAAGGAAAGTAGTCATTCCAGAAATGGATATGCCAACGTTTACATTTGCTTCCACTTTTAGGCAAATTTTGTGAATAGCGGGTGCTACCGGAAGCAAGGGACACGCTTTCTATGGTGTCATAACTGATTTTCAGTGATCCATTCATATAATTTTACAACTATCTGACCTTTACATCAAACATAATATGTTTCTGGGTATACAGATGACTGAGTATTCTTTTGCATTGACGTTCTGCATTTACATTCATGTATATTTTTACTCTTCCAGTCGGCCAGCCCGGTTGTGTTTTTCCCATTGTACCACACCATATACGAAACATTCTATTCAGTAAAGCGTTTCGTCGATCCGGACTTTGAGGTGAGAAACACAATTATTAATATAATTCAGTTGTTATATCCTTGTCAACTAATGTGATTATCTTCTTCTATTGTTTGGATAGGTAGTGATGTGAATACCCCCAAATAATTGATATTTTAATCGATTGCGCACAAAATAGTGTAAGATCAGATCTGTCACAAACATATGGAGACCAGCTTCACCATCCTTGATGATCGGTCATGTCTATTAAAGGTGTCACCTCGTGTAGGGATTGGGTTGATGTGTTTGCATGTTCTCCGTGTCATCTAGGTTAACTGGATATACGAATAAGTATGTTTTTCTGCTTAGGAATCGTGAAAGATGGCATCTGTGGGCACTGAGCTTTGACTGTGATCATGTTGTGTGTCTTAGAAAAACCAAAAGCACACGATTAAAATATTACTCAGATATTGTTCATTCCTCAAAATTATCAATATGATCAGGCTACCTTTGAAATCTGTGGAATCGCTGATGGATGTCTGAACAAATATTTTGAAATTACTCGGGAAGGGACACTGTGTCATTCACCTTGTGCACGCTTCTCCAAGAAAATCATCATCAATCCCCCTAGCCATTACGAACAGTCCCCAGATTCCTAATTCATTCGGGTTGTAGTCAAATGGGCCGAGGCCAAAAATCGAATGGGTCGAAATCAAAAGTAAAAAAGACCGAAAAAAGGGCCGAAAAATTTAAAAAATAATAAATTACAAGTGTGTTTGAATGAACTTGTGAGAAACTGAAATTAGTGTAGTACCTGAACCGGATATACCAATAAACTGATACTTAAGTGCTTTAAATTATGAACTATGAATCTATATATACTGCCATTAAATGCAAAGACATGCTTGGCAATTGTCATCTTATTATTGTTATGATATTATGTTTTAATGCTATATATGTCACTAAAAAATTGAAAAACATTTGTAAACTTTTTATTTGTTTGGCCCATATGACTAAGAATAAGGCCCTTTTGACATTTTTTCACGGCCCATTTGACTTTCACCTCGGCCCTTTTGACTTTTTCCATCGGCCCATTTGACTTGGCACTTCTCGGCTTCTTTGTCAGTCGGCCCATTTGACTAGATCCCATTCATTCGAGCTATTTTTCGAGCATGATTCTCAGTCGATGGTGCATTGCTTCCAATGACAGAAGGTGTAATAATACGTGGGTAACTATCGAATACTAGTTTGAGTCAGGATGTGATATAGTTTGTGTTCACTGCATCAAGAGGCATTATAACTCCATCCCTCCCCAGTATCACCGCGCTGTATCCCAGATGGCAGCAGAGTTGGCACGTTCACTGGCCGACTCCCTCATCATCCCCTTCAACGTCAGCGACTACAGCTGGGCCCTCAACACATACTGGCAAACACTAAACAGAGAGCATGGAGCCAAACTCAGGGACAATTTAGATAACTATGGTAAGATCGTAATAATTCAGACTTGCGGTACCTTACAGTACTTTTGTCTAAACTAATGTTTCTTTTATCAAAGCGTCTGCAAGTCTGTATGTATACGCCTTAATAAATGATTGGCCCTCCTAGATGAAAAAGACGTAATGAAACATTTAGATGTGTACCTATTTAATCTATTGTCTTTATGGAATTCTATGTTTTACGTTTCGGTAAACAGAATTTGAAACTCAGTTTGAATTATAATTTGACTGATGAAGCTTTTCCCGTTTCTCTCCCTCTACTCATCATGTGTCGGCGATGTCTATTTTAGATGAACTTAAGGATGCAATATCAAACTTCACGAGGGAATCTCAAAAGTTCAAAGAAAGACTATCAACACTCAACAGGTTTGAGTAAGTATTCATGTATACGGGCTGTATCGTATCAGAACATGCTATATATACGACATAGAGGCGACACATCCTTACAAAGGAAACCAACGGCATTTGGGGAATCAATACTTCATAGTGTATGAGAATGTGGTACCCAGTGATAGGTCCATGTTAGTGAAAACTCGCCCTGAACATTTCAAGACATAAGTCAAGTGTCCAAATGTTTCTGTATGGAGGTCAACGGTAATTGTGAAATACTGGTGATTTCACTTGCAGTCCACTGGCCACTCGTGCTGTGAATGACCAGTTGCTTCTGCTGGAGAAGGCGTTTCTTGACGACGAGGGATTGCCGGACCGACCAACGAGGAAGTATGTTAAAATACTTGTCACATGAACAGATGTATTTCATAATTCACATTCCTGATTATCATTCTTAATGTACCTCATGTGCTGCAAATGCATTAGTAAGTTCAACACCCGTCATTTCAATTCCCATGGTTCGTCAGTTAAAAAGTGGGACAAAACCCTGAAATGATTTTCAAACATTACTATTTCTGTGAAACTGAGTTACAAACCACAAAACACAATCTAGGCGAATCTGGTGTTCAAATCAATGATTAGAGCTTTCTGACATTCCTAACAGACGCAACTCAGAGAGAATTGCCGCGACTTAGATGACTGGGTCATCCCCTGCACAATTATTTTACAACAGCACAAAAAGTAACCTCTTTCAAGTTGCTTCATGAAGAGGAACAAGGTATATGTATTGACAATAAATTTAAAGCTGTTGTCTATGCATACAACTTGTACCACTTCAGCACAAAAATATTTTTAAAAGACACGTATGCTCTACATATTTCATATTTATTTTCCGACATACATTATTCTGATATGTTGACATCGTGTTTCTGTCCTACCAGACATCTGATTGTGGCCGAGAGCAGCAAGAACGCCTATGCAGGAAGTAGTTTCCCGGGCCTCAGTGATCTTCTTTTTGAAATCGATGCTGCCCCGGATGTTGATGCACGATGGGAACGTGTCAAGCAACATTTCTCAGTGCTCCTCTTTACCATCCAATCAGCAGCCTCCACGCTTAGTGACGTAATCAGCTTTATGCCTGGTTTAGAGTAGAACATAGCCCAGGAGCTTGAAAACTCTTTCTCATGTCACGATAGAACTGCATGTTCTTTTTTAATCATACGTGTGCATATATATATAAGTGATCAGATAGGAAATATCTATTTAGGAGATGTATATTTTTCTAAACAGTTATTAGAGAAAGGTTGGTAATTATATATCATCATGATATCATGATTACTTCATTCGTTTATTGTCTCAAGTTTTGTTTATGGCTTATGTAAGAAATATGAACATATTATATTTGTAACCCACGCAGTGACCGAAATGGCAATCTTGGCTGTTGGTTGGGGTGTCAGAGTACGACTCGGATGCAACATTTGATGACATCTGAAGGTTATGATTTGCATCCAGAAACTGACCTTATTATACTATCCCTCATATTTGAACACACTGTCATATATTACGCATATGACATTGTTTTAATGCAACTGATTAATAAAGTTAATTATAACCTTACGTAATTCATGAATTAAAATATTGTGAATAGCTTTCTGTAGCTGATTAAATTTTTAAACGTGACAGGGAAAAAACTTCTCATCTCACAGGATCAACCCACAGCCGTTGCAGGAAAAATGAGCGACATTGGCTTATTTCACTGTTGAGATATATTTTGTCTACGAATGTATTCTGAAGTTTTCTATGACTATGTATATTTCATGTAAGATTGTAATGTATTTTAGTAATTAAAGAAAACAAATATACAGATAAAGAAGTATCTCGAGTCAGCATTTTTATTTGGATATTCGTCCAACGGTTTGGAGTAAAGGGTAAAATATAAAACAAAAACTGACAGACTCATCATACTTTCTGTCCCAAGTGTAACGCGCAGCCATCATATAATCAATCTGTTTCTACAAAACTACATTGCGAATTCCTTGTAGATGTGGATACGCTTAATATCTCAGCTGATAATCTGGTGTCGTTGATGCCACTGGTCTATTTCCTCCTGGGGTAAAGAGTTCTCGACAATATACATAGTGTGTACCCCCTTCCCCTCTGGATCCACCTATGGGTTCCGATCCATAAAGCGTTGGTAGCGCAAGGACATTCGTAAGCTATTGGTAAATCATAGAGTTACGACAGGTCGTAACTTTACGAACGGTTTGAGGGTCGGGACCCAGCAGTGCAGTCTTCAGCGACTCATTGACTCGATCCGTTTCTATTACAGTCGTCCTCGTGCGTGTAGTTATGACTCAATGGTCAATCCACGGTACGACCCAGCTCATGTACAGGGCGCCATGGAAAATGACAGTAAAAAATGCTTACCATTAGGATACGGCATCAGACGTATTCAGGCAAACAAACCTGTTGTGGTAGTTTTTGACAAATCCAGTGATGGATATACTACCCATCAAAAGTTTAGATTCACTGAAAACACTCACTATATGTTATGTATATATACTAGCCACATAAAGAGACTGTGCATTGTCAAAATATTATCCCAGTTGATAAGTACGATAACAATGTCAAAGGTACATATAAACTTTAATGGAGGGATCATGAGGCCATAACAAGTCGGGAGAATTTCAATTGAAAAGTCAATCACAATGACGTCACGCGTCCACAAGCGGGACAGGGGTCAAACGACCATGTCACAAGCTCAATAACGGTTATGTCCACCATCGGCATTGAGAACAGCAGTGCATCGACGACAACGTGCAAGGAAGGCTTGTGGGATGTCACGCCAGATTCTCTCCAGTTCTGTTGCAAGGTCAAGGACGTTATCTGGCGGATGAGGAAGACGGCGTAGACGGCGATCCATCTCGTCCCAAACATGCGCTATCGGGTAGAGATCCGGTGAATTTACAGGCCAAGGCAGTAAGTCAACGTTGTGGTGTTGCAAGAAATCCATAGCAACCCTTGCCGTATGAGGGCGGGCATTGTCCTGTTGGAAGGTTAACCAAGGGCCATGACGTTGCAGAAAAGGAATTGCCACAGGTCGAAGAATCTGATCCCTGTAGCCCACATCAGTTAAGTTGCCCTGAACAATCACCAAAGGAGTTCTTTGGCGTGCTGTTATTTCACCCCAAATCATCACGGAACCACCACTAAAGCGATTCCTCTCCAAGACACAGGCCTGTGCATAACGTTCTCCCACGCGTCTATAGGCACGTTGACGTCCATCACTATGGGAAATGTTAAACCTGGACTCATCTGTAAAAAACATTTCTCCACCAAAACAAGGGTCTGCGGACATGATTTCGGCACCACATTCGGCGAGCTTGTCGATGACGTTGTGTCAGGATAGGCCGTATGGCGGGACGTCGTGGTCTGATCCCGTGATGACGTAAACGTTGTCGAACTGTGTTGGGGTGGATACGGCGAAGTCCTGGGATGGTTCGGGCAGTCATCACTGCAGTCTGAAACCTGTGGCGAAGATGGGTCACCCTGCCTTATCCATCTGTCCTGTCTTGGCGTTGTTACACGTGGACGTCCAGAACGTGGCCGATCGATGACGTCATTTGTGTTTTGGTAGCGTCTCACCAGTGCAGAAATGGTGTTCCGGTGGCAGTGGAAATGTGCAGCCACTTGTCGTTGAGACATTCCCCCACGGACCATCCCAATGGCCTCATGACGTTGTGCAGACGTGAGCCTTGGCATGCTATGCGTTTCAATAGCCGTTTAATTTTTTGAACGATCGCAAAGGCAGGGGTTGAGCTTTCCAAAGTGACAGTATGGTGTGGCATTCATTTGCTCTGTTTCTCTTTCCCGGAATGCACGTGCAACAACGTATTGCACGTCTCAAGGACGAACCCACTGACGTCACGGAACGTGGCACGTGCATGCATGTTGGATACATGTCACTAATCTCTGAGTTTAAATCCTTATGTGTCTACACAGGTTTGATAAATTTAGATTTTAAATTTTTGTATGCACAGTTTCTTTATGTACCTAATATCTATGTGAATACATCGAAGATGAATTTCTCCACTAACTTAGGGGGACCAACTGCAAACCTTATGCAGATGAACTGCACGAGGATCATGCATCAAATTGCTGAAAAGCATTTGCAAATGCGCATGTGAACAGCTGCGTTTTGGTGTAAAGTTTGGTTAAGAATTCGCCCATTTTTAACGAGTTTCATCATTTATTGAACTCAGGACAATAATCTTTTCAATATTACGAATTTGTTTTACAATACACTACTTCATGTGTAAACAGCATCTTTAAACAGTATGGAATATTTTGAAAAATGTAGTTTAGAACAATTGACTTAGGTAAGTGGCTACATTTACACTAGGTAGTCTAAACTTTTGATGGGTAGTCTATATTATTGAATTCTCTGTCCCTTCTGACACGAGTGTAATTGACAAGATTCAGATAAAACACGGCAAATATGCGGACATCGCTTACGAAATATCAGGCTTCAAGTTGTTCATGGAGTCTTAGGTTTGATGCTCCCTAATATGTGTGTTGGAATCGGGAGAATGCCCGGATTTTCTGACATGAACATATCCCTTCTGACAATTTGGTTTTGTAGAAGGTGGCAGTGTTAGGGGTCTTTGATTTGTCCCAAAGGTTCTTAACGGGTTCGATTAGGAAGTTCTTCCTGTGAAAATTCCAATTTGCTGTCCCGTCTGTGTGAAGCAAGGGCCCTGAAACTATCCAGACTGTATCCTCTGTGTAGCATCCGTATCAAAATAATAACTAATGATACCTAGACTGGAGAGTATTGTCAATACGATTTTCGATAACATCGACGAGCGCTAAGTTCAAGCTAATACGAAACATCGTTCAATAGTTGCTAACACATAAACAGTTTCTTATTAGCCAGGTGTCAAATGTCAAGGACAATTATTTGTTGAAAGACTTGTTGTTGCAACAATTTCATTCATGTTGTTTATGTAACGCCTCAGATGTTTGAATTTTTCTGGATGAGATGAGATCTACGTGCTGGGATATTTCGTATTACGAAAGGTAAATGGAAAGATGTTTGCTTCTTTGTGTAATTTGTGTGACTGATGGGTGCCACGGGTTGAACAAGACAAAGTTATCTTTTCGCGAACGCCTGATAGTCAGTTGATATATTTTTCGTCACGGTTTTGCACTTTGCATCTGTTTCAGCGGGTAATCGAGGCTGCTTCAACCCTGTCTTGGACATTTCGTACTGCAACATTAGTGTTGAGTCGATTACACAATTCGTCTTGTCTTTGCGTTAGATCATGTATAGTACTGAAGTACGCATTGAACATGATATCAACGCTCTTCGCCACTTTAAAGAGATTCTTGCTCTGTGAAACAATAGGAATGATGTAACATTGTAGCGTATTTAATAAACGAATAAATCTAATGTTAGGTCAGATGAAAGTCTTTCTCACACACCTACACGTTACCGATTGTACATGTGGTAACGGTGAACATTGAACATTGATAGGTACGTCAAATATACAGCTGGATTCAATACCAAACAAAGAACATTGCAAAATGTAAAAAGGATCCTGCCTATATTTCATAATGGATTGTAGATATATAGATATACATATATATACATATATATGTGTATATATATATATATCATATCACATAGATAAATAAATATATATATCAGGTATATATATATATATAATTACATTTGCTTCGAGGTTACATCTTACTATCTCAGCATAAGTAAAATATGTCTGACAACCGATAAAGGATATTTCCATTTACAATATTTTCCTCATTGGAATTGTCATCATTATTTTCATCTTGTAGCGAAAAGTTGATCGAATGAGATATTTCTTTCACACCGAAAAAGCTGACCTGCGATGCCAAAGTAGAATCGAAGAAATGTAAGAACAGTATTTTCTGGGTAACAATGTAATAGGCTAAAACTCAAAACACACTTAATAGAACACTGCGTAGAGACAAAGACTATACAGTGTTGATCTATTAATCTGGAATGAACATTCAATACCATTAGTGAATGAGTGAGTGAGTATAGTTTTACACCTCTTTTAGCAGTATTCCACCAATATCACGGCGGGGACACCAGAAATGGGCTTCACGCATTGTACCCAAGTGGGGAATCGAACCCGGGTGTTCGGCGTGACGAGCGAACGCTTTAACCACCAGACTACCCCACCGCGACTCCATACCATGAAGTAAATACAATAAAATGAGAAGCAATTAATTTTCTGGAATGAATCGGATGACATCCCGTAGTGTTGATGCAGCAGAGTCGATGGTGAACAGAATCACTGAGAAATGTCTCTTCACACGTTCCCAACGTGCCTCAACATCCGGGGCCTTCTCTATCTCAAACATCAGGTCAACGAGGCCTGGGAAACTACTTCCGGCGTAGGAATCTGTGCTGCTTTCAGCCAGGAGAAGATGCCTGAAATTATGAGAGAGTGAGTGTCAATGTTCGGGGCTTTCAGAATAACCAGTCAGCTATTTCATTGATAACAACAACACCTTATACGTTATAATGCAGTACAACGTGATTCTAACACTACATATTGTCATTCTCACTTTTTTAATGGCCTGCCTGGTAAACCTTCACTGTCCAGGAACGCTTTTTCCAATAGTGTCAGCTGGTCATTGACAGCCCTGATAGCCAAAGGGCTGAAATAGAAGTGCAAACCTATGTCAGAACATACATTACAGTAATTAGAATTCTCTGTATCCAAGTACATATGGGCACGGTGTTTACGCCTTGGTTTGAGTTCAGGAGATCATTGACAGTGACATACTGATAATACTGTGCAGTCCTAATACTAAACATGTCTACACGACATTGAGATGGCACTGGAGTCTGTGAGTGAGTTTAGTTTTACACCACTCTCAGCAATATTCCAGCTATATGGCGGCGCTCTGTAAATAATCGAGTCTGGACCAGACAATCCAGTGATGAACAGCATGAGCATTGATCTACGCAATTGGGATAAGACGACATGTGTCATCCAAGCCAGCGAGCCTGGCCACCCGATCCCGTTAGTCGCCTCTTACGACAAACATTTGGTTACTGAAGATCAATTCTAACCCGGATCTTCCCGTGTAGATGGCACTGGAACCATTTGAAGCAAAATGCATGTATCTTTGCTCGCACTGGTAAATTTCTATACACAGTATAGTAACACGTAGCATCTTTAATCATAGCACTTGGTTCGCAAGTATATGTCTGTTTTACTTACTCATTCCTGTTCATCTTAGCCACTCGTTCAGTGAAGTCATCCGCCACCTTGCTGAAGTTTGCAATCACAGAGCCAAGGTCATCTAGAAATATACATGTCATAATGTCATATTAAAACACTGTATTGACTAGAGATTCTTAACGGAATGATGCAGGACTTACGGGAGTTATTCAAACGAATCTTACTATTGCCAGTTAAACATACAACCATGTTATATTTCCACACTCCTCCGTTTTCCAAAACCATGACGGGTTATCGTAGTCATCTGTGGACCAGACAATCGAGTGACTGTTATTATGAGCATCGGTCCATCGGGTACAATGACACGCTATGAACCAATCACCCTGACTGAAGTCCTGATTACTTGCATGGGTACCATGTGTGAAGCCCATTTCTGGTGTCCCCTCCGTGATGTTGCTAAAAGCGCCGTAAAAATAAACCCATTCACTCTAGACAAGATGACATTACTTAGCTGGAATCAGTACGGTTAACTAACTTAGCAAGTCTTTACTAAAGCACAGCGTAACTAGATACACGACTCCACCGGCTCCACATAGCTAATGCATAAATCCGTGTCACATACCAAAGTTGGTTATGCGTGCTCTAAGTTTTTCCCCATGAGTCTTATCAATGGCCTTCCGGTATCTGTCGAGGGCCTGGCTGTAGTCGCTGACGTTGAAGGGGATGATGAGGGAGTCAGCCAGAGAACGTGCCAACTCTGTAGCCATCCTGGACACGGCGCGGTGGAACTGAGAGGCAGAAATTTTCGTGTCAATAGTTTAAAATGTTCTTGCTTACAGTCTTTCTCTGAAATATGACATTACTGGTACGGGAAGAATAATACTCGCAGCGGCCATTGCTGGAGTACATCATAGCTTCAGCAGTAAGAATGTTTAGGATTAGGTAGGAATGCACATGGTCGTTTACTTCCATCAGGCACATGACCCCATACGTCCTAGACCAGATTGATTAGTATTTCATTTCGGAGTAGAATCCATAGTGAGACGTGTCTTAGCCATTTACCATTTAAATGAAAGTCGCTCGCGCAGGTATGGTGCTGGGAAACTTGGAAACACAATCATATATATGGGAATCGAACCGCGATCATAGCTCAATGTCGCACGTAAGGGACGTTACTCTGTACAGCACATTGTGGTGCCAATGTCAGTGACAGGTCCGATGGATACCTAATTAACCAAGGTATCAGTCGACACAACGAAAATTGGACGCAGTCTCCTTCTGTTACTTTTCTGTGACGGTTAACAATTCCACCCATCTTGTGAGAACCATCCCATTTTGGTAGATTCAACCTAGAAGCAGGAAATAGGAACTCTGGAAACCATGTCACTTCATACACCAAGTGGGCTGGGCATCGGAAAGAGCAGGCAATATATTTCTGAGGAAGGGGATTCAGAAACAGTTCATGCATGGCATCGGAAAGAGCAGGCAATATATTTCTGAGCAGGCAATATATTTCTGAGGAAGGGGATTCAGAAACAGTTCATGCATGGCATCGGAAAGAGCAGGCAATATATTTCTGAGGAAGGGGATTCAGAAACAGTTCATGCATGGCATCGGAAAGAGCAGGCAATTCAGAAACATATGCAATGGCATCGGAAAGAGCAGGCAATATATTTCTGAGGAAGGGGATTCAGAAACAGTTCATGCATGGCATCGGAAAGAGCAGGCAATATATTTCTGAGGAAAGGGATTCAGAAACAGTTCATGCATGGCATCGGAAAGAGCAGGCAATATATTTCTGAGGAAAGGGATTCAGAAACAGTTCATGCATGGCATCGGAAAGAGCAGGCAATATATTTCTGAGGAAGGGATTCAGAAACAGTTCATGCATGGCATCGGAAAGAGCAGGCAATATATTTCTGAGGAAGGGATTCAGAAACAGTTCATGCATGGCATCGGAAAGAGCAGGCAATATATTTCTGAGGAAGGGGATTCAGAAACAGTTCATGCATGGCATCGGAAAGAGCAGGCAATATATTTCTGAGGAAAGGGATTCAGAAACAGTTCATGCATGGCATCGGAAAGAGCAGGCAATATATTTCTGAGGAAGGGGGTTTCGAAATAGTTACTGCCTCATAGTTCGAACCTTGATGGTGTGGAAGTTATGTTACATTGAAGTCAATATTTGAGTTCACACTTTGTTCCTTACCTCGAACTGCTTGTCCATGATGTTTTTCACTGCATAGAACGTCTCATACACAGAATGATACAAGGGATAGAAGTCCACCTTATACTTATACTGAAAACAAAATAATGTCAGTACGCAGTGTGACATAAAAACTGAATTGACATAAGTATACAAGACGACTATTTGACTGTATGTGATAGGTACATGTACATGGATGTCAAGTAGGTGAGTGAGTGAAATTTTAGCAATATAGAATGGGTTTCACATATTGCACCCATGAGGGGGATCGAACCCGCACTAGGCTATACCACTAACCGTTGTGTCTCAAATAAGAGATGAGGAAGGATTAGGGTATTGCGTTTAGCAATATTCCAGCAATGTCCCGACCGGGCACACTAGAAATAAGCTTCACACATCGAATCCATGTAGAAATCGAACCCAGGTCTTCATCGTTTCGAGCGAACGTTTTAACCACTAAGCTACACCACAAACAGTTGTATGTCAAATAAGAGATGAAGAATGATAAGGGTAGGGTAAACAAAGCTGTTAATCGACGGATTGTAAGAACATATTACACGTGTTTTCTAAATTACATGACGTTATAGATGGCGTACCGTATTGTAAACATATGACATGTCCACCGCTGTGATTCCAGCCTTCTGAAGTAACGGGGCGTAGTCACTCCCAGAACCCAAGTCCCTCATCCTGGTGGGAAAAATACAAAGGGAATACAAGTACCAATCTATCTTAAATCTATCAATTACATTGACATTTTAATTAATCACTGAAGTCCGTCAGGAATCTATAATGATCTGCTGAACGCGCGCCACTCGAACTGCATAACATTTACGTACCCATTGTTAAATAATAACCTTATGTTAGCATGAACAAAGTATTGTTTACACACCGATGGTTGAAATGACACTTTGTAATTGTCTAATTTTCCGTCTTTTTTACAGTGCTGAATATTTCTTCAATTGTACAATTCATATTCGGGTGGTACAATAGTCAGTCATTTCTTTACACCATGACAGCCTGAATGTATTTGAGACTGAAGGATTCGAAGAAGTGTTTGATAGAGTGAACACGAACATCACTTCAAACAACTCAGTCCAACAGCCGTGGCCTGACTGCATGAGGTTGCATGAACAATACACGTTGAGATCGGTTGGGATGTCAATTACAGTTAAACTATATATTAAAGTTGCCCCATTGATGCCCGTTGCAATAGGTACACGTTGGTGACGATGGTCGCCAACTGATGTCTAAATAACATGTTTTATTGGCTAACCGTACTCAGATGATGAACAAACGTTAATCTCACTTTGGAATGTTCATGGAAACGTTATTCTCTTTCAGTGGGTAGCTGTGGAGCCAAGTGTCGTACACGGTTGTTCGTCCGGCGGCCACCTCGGCCGGATTGGGGTTAGGAACCTGAAACACGTGTTCAGAAACACTAAGATTTTATTGCGGAGGGAGCCGTCTTCAGACAAGCAATACTATCGACTACAGGGTGAGCTTGAGTGGTCCAAGCACCGATTTGATTCAACGGCTTCATGAAAAAAATAATTCCGCTGAACGTCTATTGTACGATTCCGACTGCATCATCGAAGCTCATGACGTCAAGCACTGGATTATCTGGTCTCAAAGGTTCAAAGAAAGACTATCATCACCTAACATGTTTGAGTAAGTAGCCATGTACACGGCCTATACCTAATCAGAGCAACTCGTGAAGATCCGGGTAAGAATTGGTCTTCAGCAACCCATGCTTGTCAAAAGAGGCGACTAACGGGATCGGATAGACATACTCACTTAGTTGACGTATGTTCCAATTCGCTGATCGATGCTCATGATATAAAACACTGGATTGTCTGGTCCAGACTCGATAATCATAGAACGCCATCATAAAACAGGAAAATTGCCAAGTGCGTCGTTAAACAACAAACAAATCATTGGTACGATCACGTCGACCACGAATCAGTATAGGAGCTAATTGTAGGATGAACAGTCTGACGAGTGTATGTTGACTGAGTGACGAGTGGGTATGGTTTAAGCCGCTTTTAGCATTATGCCACCAATATATCACGGCGGGGGACACCAGAAATAACCTTCACATATTATGTATGCCCTTGTGGGGAATCGAACCCAGATTTTCAACGTGAAGAGCGGACGCTCTAACCATTACGCTATCTCATCCCTTGTACAATGTTCAGTCGCATGTTATGAATGACTCATTGTGTCAGGCCTGTGATCAAACATTATCAGCGGTCAGTGGCGTTTTGTTAATTTCACAAGTATGAATCCGATAACGTGGCGTCTAATTCGAGGTCCTGCTTTAATAATCAGCTGAATATGTTATCCCAGAAACTTTGTGGGAAGGTTGTAGATTGGTAACGTCATGAGACAACGTTGTCACAGCGTTAGTATTATGTCATTTTATAATGTTATGTCACACGTAATAACAACATTGCAAATTTACTTTGAGAAAACGTTATGCTTTGGGCTCCTTACAACGTTATTACTTGTCACGATAGAGTTTTCCGTAAAAGTTTTCATTTTGAGAATTTTTTAGTCACTTTTCAGCTACAGTTTAAGAAAACACACGATCAAAACAACGTGCAAATTGCCGAATAAACAATGATGTGAATTTCTGCTTTGTTTTCTATGTATTGTTCACTACTGGGAAAACTATTCAACTATTAATGTTAAATTGAACGTAAACACAGCGTAAAATACGTAAGCATCAAATAACGTTACCTTGTGGCGACGTAAAAATGATGCACCACAACGTCAGGCCACAACATTGTGACATAAATGAGTCCACAGAATAACAACGAAAGCATAACGTTGTGACAACGTTGAGACAACGTGAAATTGTTAGCTGGGATGTGTTCTAACTCTGGTTCATGTCCCAAATGAAAACAGACCCTCCCCTTCAACCACTGTATTTACTAGACACTCTGAGTCTGCGGGAGGCCTCCCTGCACCCAAGGAATGTCTATCAGCTTCTGTTCCCACTCATTGAAACTGTAGAACTACATGTAGTTTCTCGGTCAAATGGCTCACCTTCTTTGCGGCTTCGTACGTGGCCCTGTACATCAGGGGCGTGCTAGCAGCGGACAACGAGTAGTTTCCTGCGGGGAGACACGGGATAGGATCTACACATCATTTACATCACGTTGTTTTTTTGAGTATGGTGGATGGAATTAAGCAGATAAAATTAATTAAATGAATGGGTTATTATTAATTTGAACCTGTACTGATAGTTCGTCATTGTCATTCTGCGTGTCTATACAGATATTGGGATGTTATTACCAAAAACGGATATGTCCACGTTGATATACGCCACAGACCTCTCCCTGAGGTTTGTCTGGTATTGCTGGAAATATTATTATAATTACAATCAGTCATTTACATAATTGCACATTCACATATAATTTCAAACACCAACGTTAACATACATCAGGGTTATAATTACAGGAAATCATAATAAAGAGTATTTATGTGTTGGGATTGAATTCAGCTTCCAAAGACATGCGTGTTACAACATTTTGTATTTATTTACAACATTTCTGAACCAACCCCTGAAGACTGTACACCCCACACCCCGTAATAATCAAGTACACATACTTTTACTGGATGGAGGCAGATTGTACTCTTCTAGTATCAATGATACTTGCTTCAACACACACTCACTGGACTGATACCTGCTTCAACACACACTCACTGGACTGAGACTTCCTTCAACACACACTCACAGAGCTAAGACTTGCTTCAACACACACTCACTGGACTGATACTTGCTTCAACACACACTCACTGGACTGATACTTGCTTCAACACACTGGACTCAACACACACTCACTGGACTGATACTTGCTTCAACACACACTCACTGGACTGATACTTGCTTCAACACACACTCACTGGACTGACTCACTGGACTGATACTTGCTTCAACACACACTCACTGGACTGATACTTGCTTCAACACACACTCACTGGACTGGACGGACTGATATACTTGCTTCAACACACACACTCACTGGACTGAGACTTGCTTCAACACACACTCACTGGACGTATACTTCAACACACACTCACTGGACTGATACTTGCTTCAACACACACTCACTCACTGGACTGAGACTTGCTTCAACACACACACACTGCTTCTTCAACACACACTCACTGGACTGAGACTTGCTTCAACACACACTCACTGGACTGATACTTGCTTCAACACACACTCACTGGACTGATACTTGCTTCAACACACACTCACTTGGCTGAGACTTGCTTCAACACACACTCACTGGACTGATACTTGCTTCAACACACACTCACTAGGCTGAGACTTGCTTCAACACACACTCTGACTAGGCTGAGACTTGCTTCAACACACACTCACTGGACTGATACTTGCTTCAACACACACTCACTGGGCTGAGACTTGCTTCAACACACACTCACTAGGCTGAGACTTGCTTCAACACACCCTCACTGGACTGAGACTTGCTTCAACACATACACAGACACTCTCACTCTCTCTCTCACCCCCACCACGTTACTCACCTCCACCCACTCATTGGACCCCAGCAGACCGTATTCCTCTGCCCCCCAGCTGCAGAACATGATGGACCGACGGGGACGCCACTTGCCTGGGACACAGTCACATTGATATTTAGACCAACATTTAGTATTTACAATATGGATATGATGATCTTAAGGATTTACCAATTAAGAACATTTTTCAGTAAACCTGTTTTAGAATATCACTTCCTTATTTCACAACTTTAATATTTTTGATGTCTGATTGATTTTGTTCTTGAAGGGATGTATTGTCGGCCACTGCTTAAAGACAGACAAGATTTTTCTCAGAAAGTTGGAATCGAACCTGTTTTTCCAAACATGATATCCTACATGTTCAGTGAAACGTTTTCTTTGTTTGCAAAACCTGAAGAAAAGTATTTTTTCAAATCTTCCTAGGTAATTGCTATATTCTGTCCGTCAGCTGGACAATGTCTGCGAAAACTGACCACTCTGGACCATCTGCCCCAAGGCTCGTGCGGACTCCATTATGGCTGCTGTTCCACTGGACGGGTCAATAGCCCCGTACACCCAAGCATCTCTGTGGTTCCCAACTATCACGTAACGATCTATGGATGAAAAATGGTTTCTTGGCTGAGAATTTAGGCAAAACTAAAACGCATACACACTTATATTCATATGCTAGGTTGGAGCACGTAACACTTATCCACAAACCTGCGTCATCACTGTCACATAATAGCACACTATGCCATGTGTCTTGTATTACTGATGTTTGCTTTGTTTGCTAGTTGTTCAACACCACACACACAGCAATATTACAGCGGTCTGTAAATAATCGAGTCTGGACCAGACAATCCAGTGATAAACACTATGAGCATCGATCTACGCAATTGGGATACGATGACATGTGTCAACTAAGTCATCGAGCCTGACCACCCGATCCTGTTTGTCGCCTCTTACGACAAGCATGGGTAACTGAAGACCAATTCCAACCCGGATCTTTACGGTTCGTACTTATGATGTAATAAACAAACAAATATAAAAGCATACTATTAGGTTAATTACCATATCAGTATAACAATTACAACAGGAAAAGAATAACTAATAACCGTGTCCGAGGTGATACCAAGCAGGGAAAAGGAGACACCTCGCGAGTTGTGTCGCGACGTCAAGGGAGGTAATTCCAGTGTGCTTGAAATACAATAAACATATATATAATATTATACATGCTCAGCAGAACAAAACGCCATCGTGCATGAACCTGTCTGTATGTCTGTGTCTGTATGTGTCTCTATATGTGTCCGTGTGGCTGTGTCTGCGTAATAACTCACCAGGCTCTGTTAATCCTTTGATAATACCGATGACATTGTAGGCAGTTTTTATTTCATTCGTTGTTGATATGTTCATTTGAATCTTCCTGTAGTAAACACATGAAAATAACCAACTCAGGAGCTATAAGGGTTGAACATTCTTATGAATCAATGATGCATTAACAATATCATCTAGCGGCCAAGCGCCAGCGTGCACGACATGGACAGCCTTTTATCATCATTATGCCTCTTGAGCTCAACACGGCTTGTAACATCACGGAGTGTGCTATCTTATTGGTGCAATTAACGTTGAATCCATATACCGATGCTTTCTTTCTACATTTTGTTTATAGAAAACTTTAAATAAAAATATAAATGCATGTACATATATAAGACGCCAATATGATAATAATTATATAAATAATGAATAATTCGAAAATTGCTCAAATAAACTCGTGGCCGCATAATAGCTACAACATATCATGCCCAAAATAAGATTTCAGAGTGAGATACACACAAAACATATCAAATAAAATGATATTTGAAAATGAAAATATTTGACTCTCAGACATGTCCAGATATGAAGACATTGTCTCTATGGAATATGCAAATATTAATCTCATTGATTATCTACCAAAACAGATGCTATTTGGAGCCAAATAGTGAAGAACACAGTACGAAGGGGCGTGGAAAATGAGGGACGACACCTGGTGTTCGTGAAAATGGAAAATGAAAACATTCACATCACGGGCTTCGGTGTCTTAATCCAATGACTCCCCAGAAAGATATACATCCATGATGTACAGACAGTTTTGGTGAAAATTCCACTCACCACCCTGTCTTCTGCAGACCTGGCCCCAGTCTGTAGGTGATGTTGAGACGCCCTCGCCAGGCAACCGGAACCTCATCTCCACCCATCTCTCTGTGGGTGGGACAACACGAACAAAAAACAGAATGTATGACTACTGTTCAAAATATTTCCTACGTACCGGACAATCTAGCCTAATCTACCGATGTACTACAAGAATATATGTAAAGGAATAATAGAAAATAATTGCCATGATTTCTGGCTGGTAGACGTCAACGCTAAATAGTACCCAGTCTCGATCTTCTGCAGGAACAGATTCCTTGGGACCAATAGTAGTGAACTTTACATGAATTGATCACTAAAATCAGTGATGGCACCAGTTAATTGTGGAAATGGTAAGCGTGTCCTGTAATGCTGGTTGTATTCACCACCAGCACAACTTATTTATTGCATGGCACCGGGACCCAGTTCCCCTAACGGTAACCTGTAAATAAGCGAAACAAGTGATGAATCAGAACACCCTGTGACTCGATAGAGGATTTATTATGTTAAACTGAAAGCGTAATATTTACCTGAGGATTTGCTCAGCGATGTCATATCCTATGGGATGTGCTGGTATTTTGGGAAGTTTAACGGCAGAAGAATTTTCAGGATACCGATATGCAGTTTCTAGAAGGGTCAAGAGAATTAACACGTGAGTTAATCTGGAAGTATCAACTGTTTACTTATGTTTTAATCCTCATTGCAATGTAAACGCCGTAATGTGATCACCGTTGCTGACAATATTCATGATGTCATAACCTAACATCGTAGATTTTCTCTGTAAACTCATAGACAGCTTTTCAAAATAGAAGACTCGTTTAAGAATCTGTTTGTTTGCATTATGTGCGCTCGACGTCAAACCTACTAATTGCTGGATATCCTGGTGTTAGCGGGTCGCCACCACCAGTGTAGATTGTCCCCCTTTGTGCCCCTGACCCTGGCAGCCACCACGTTTCCGGGTAGACACGTGGGTCGCCCTCCCACGTGTAGTCAGCTGGGTCTGAGAAGATGATTACAGCAATCGCGCCGTGGTCCGCAGCTATCTGAACCTACATCATCGGAAGAACAACTAAACAATGATATATCTGGATGGACAGTTAGATGTTTTCTGAGATGCTGTGATCCTTGTCCAGCCATTATGTTGACGTTGGATACGATTAATCAGTATATTGACAAAATGTCAGGGAGTTGTTAGTTACTGAAGCAGTGACGGACCTTTTGTGTAACACAAGTATGTGTAACTTGTGTCTAAACTAACAATTAAAATCGCCTTCTTGTGCCTTGCAGTGGTGTAACAGCTTGATGGTGTGATTCGCTTTACCTTACTCCCTCTGAAGATCCTCCCGTATCTGACGATTACGATCTTCCCCGTGACGTTCATGCTGGCGTTCTTCTCCAGCCAATCATAGTCCTCCACTCGGCCATAATTTACATACACCATATCGCCCTGGCAACCAAAGGTTAACATGAACAGAGCACAGACACGAGGCACTTCCAGAGCAGAATAGGTAAGATCCGACTGGTGTGTTTCCATATGTTACATTTCACATTTTTTAGGGAGTATGCTCTTTCAACGAAGCTTTCAAAGAGTGATATCAATGGGTCTTGCTTAAAAGTTGAGTTATGAGGGTTAAAACATTCAGTATTTTAAAAAGGCTTCGAAATGTTGTATGGAAGACACGTTGGGGACAGTCCCAAATTTGAAGCATCAGTGACAAACATTGTCTCCGACACAAGTCCCTATTTTGACCTGTTCTCGTGATTATCACATAAAGAAATACCTTGGTTTTACATGTGTCTATGACCGATGCAACCGATGGGGCAGGATACGCTGCCTATGGCTGTTCATTCGAAATATACCCAGAGACAGATACACTCTGTTTGTAACATGTTTTGTAGCCAGTAAGCTATGTTTTACCGTACGTAGTAAGAGATTAGAGAGTGACTGAAATGACGTGTACACCTGGGACACTGTCAGTTTGTTCAGGAATCAGAATAAGAAGAAAATCACCTTTGACTCTTGACACCATAGGTACATTACTTTGGACATACTTCAACGCTATTTCTAAACACAACAAATTGGAGCAACGTAACATTAATAGAATACACTATATCCAAGAAAATGGTTATTTGACGTCTGTATAGCTCACCTCCACCAAGCCTGCCGGTGAGTAGGCGTTGTAAGGCGGCAGCGCATCAGGGTCATCTTCACCAGTCAGATTAGCTTCCTTCAATGGAGACTCGTAAACCACTCCGCCGGTGTCGTTCAGGACGCGCACCACGTTGGGGTTGTCTGCGTCGGGGAAGGACAGAAGGACGTCATACGGCGTTAGTTTGACGTCATCAAAACCCCACTCCATCCATTTATCCTTGATCCAGTAAGCAAGGTCAAGGTTATTTTGAGACCCTGCAACGTGTGGTTTGCTTGACAGAAATCTGAAAAGCAGATACGCATATGTTATCTGCATTACCGAACATCCACATGTGTGTAGTTGCGCGTGTGCGTGCGTGCGTGTGCATGTGCATGTGCGTTTGGGGTAATTTCATTGGACAACATGCGTCATGCGCCAAATTTGCAAATGTCCTCCACATGTCTTCCATAAAACTTAAAAGTTTCTTGAGGCCTTGATGTTGCAAACATAATTAGATATGTTTTGATGACGACAATCAGAGGGTTGGTATAACGATGCATTATTGCATTACATGTGCACATGGGGATGTAGACATTTTGTACTCTCGTTGAATCAGGTTGCTCAGTGAACGTAATACAAAACATGATTGAAACATTTAGCATTAAAAATAACACTATAATATTAACATTTTATTGGGACAGAGTCATCATAAACGTTTTCTTGCTACCAGTAGTGTCATTCTATCGAGGCAATGAGGCGTGTTTCAATAACGTACGGTTCCTTCTAACGACTAAAGAATGACATTTTAAACTGTTTCTTTAAAACTATCAACAATAAGGTCTTACTTGAGGTAGTTTTCAATTCGTTTGTTATCCACTGCATCCAATAGTTGCTTTCCTATTTCCGGATCACCCTCTTTAATTATAGTCTCGGGGACACCTGGCAAGAAGACACCTTGTTTGTCGGGTACTACTTCCGGTTTCTCCGCTGTCGGCTGGCCGGGACATATTGCGTAGCGACCAATGATGATCCCGATGCCCAGTCCGGCAAGTACGGCAAATACTCCGGTGATGTAGACATTTCGTTTGGATGTAGTGCCGGGTTTACTGCTTTTGCTATCGTCCATTAACTGAAACTCGCCCATGACTGCAGTTTCTGTCAAAAGAGAGGCAAAGATTACATACATTTTAGTGACAAGCCCGCTTTTGGTTGAACAACTGAACAATTCCTTGACAACTGAAGCAAATTATGATGACATTTAGTGTTGTTAATTCAGATACATTATAAGACATTAAAGAGTCTGTGTTATCAGATACATTATAAGACATTCAAGAGTCTGTGTTATCTGCTGAATATGGAATGCACGTAGCTTGGTAATTACCTGGATATAGCGAATCCCTTTTACCCAGGCGCAAACGTTTATAGCAAAAACCATGGAATGACCGATGTCTGTATGTACGAATCTCTTTGCATATACAATATTGGAAAGGTCCTAATCAGTTACTGTCCAAAAATGACTTCCAGATTAATGGGATCACTGTGTATCACAACAAGTGTCAGCTTGTTCTCATCTCCAGTCCTAATCCGTGTTGCGTAATATGCCCGCAAACAGTCGACAAACGACATGACAAATACACGGGGAGTGTGAATTCGCTTGAAAAGGTATGATAAATATTCTTTGAAGGTCATACACGCTTCAATGACCCACCCACATAGGTATAAAGTGCAGCCTGTGGTGTTTACAAGTTGTTGACAATATGTTGATATATATAGCTGGCTCCAGGCATACAAAATATCACGTACTTGGAGTGCATGCATAGATATGTTTTACAGCATAAACCGGAACCTTTCTAATGCGTTAGACGCGACAGCTGACACGTACACGAACAAACTTTCGGCGTGTTACATATATTTAATACAACATTCCACCCGTGAAGATCCGGGTTAGAATTGATCTTCAGTAACCCATGCCTGTCGTAAGAGGCGATTAACGGGATCGGGTGGTCAGGCTCGCTGACTTGGTTGACACATGTTATCGTATCCCAATAGCGTAGATCGATGCTCATGCTGTTGATCACTGGGTTGTCTGGTCCAGAATCGATTATTTACAGACGGCCGTACAGTTGGAATATTGCTGAGTGCGGCGTGAAACTAAATTCACTCACTGAATACAACATTCCTTAATAACCGCTATTTTTGCTAGTCCTTATACACTTAATTACAAACTGAATTCATTTTGATTGAGTATAGTTTCAGGCCGATATATTATTCCAGGTTGGGGACACCAGAAATGAGCTTCCCATATTGTTCCCATGTGGGGAATCGAACCTAGTTCTTTAACCAATGGCTACCCAACCGCGATCAATATATATGATATAGTTATAAATGTATAGTTCATCAATAATAACTTTATATTCATGTACAACTTATCTAATCATCATCATAACATATAAGGTAATACAAGGATAATACAATGAGTAATATGGTTCGGTACAATAACAAAATGCGGCTACGAATGTTTGTCGCTAGTCTTGCAGTCTGTAGAAACGTGTCTGGCCAATAAAAGTAATGAAATCCCTGGAAATTTATTCATTATCAGTAAGTAACGATATCGAATTGGAAATGTCTTTAACGATTAACGTCACACGAAGTTACAGTATTTCCCGAATTTACAAATGAACCTTTCATCCGGCGGCCGTATGAACAACGTTTGAAATCTACGTATCATCTGGCTGTCAGATCTACACACGTTTAAAGGGGTTAAAGTAAACGAACATTCAACTCTGCATTTACATGTATTTCACAGGTGTGTACATCTGGTCATTGTTTTCGTGTGTTGTGTACAAACGTAAATGCTGTGAATGTAGGACATGGATTTAAATACCTTTGAAATCTCGTATGACAAGGGTTAGGTTTGTCATATGTTTAATACACGTGTATATATGTGGCAGTGGGTAACTAAAGACACACTAATCTAACGTGTATTTCAAAAGTTCAGTAACAAGGAACGAGGAAAGAGTCCCTTGATCGATAGTATTTGTAAAGAAAGAATAAAGACGTCAAAATACTGAAATTCTAACAAGGATGTAACTGACACAAATATTTGACTAGTCACTTAAACACTCTTTTCAGGATAAAAGTGATAATTAAATAATAATACTATGATTTGTATTTCCTCAGTATCTTGTGAAATATAACGATTGCATAGAAGAAACAAATGTGTTTCTAGCATATAGATGTAGGATAACTATATTTCACGATTCGCTTATTTTGTTTAAAAGATAACTAAATTGCAACTCTTTCCTAACATCGCCAATGTTCTGCACAAATTGCAGATCTGCGGTACTTCTTACTTGATCGATCGTATAACTGACTTGTATGTATGTTCTTCTTTGGGTTGAAGGTGTAATTTCTCATGAAATTACTTATTTCAACATTGACAATAGTGAAAATAACTGAACTGTTGTTTAAAAATATCATATTCACGGTTTATAGGACCAAGCAAACACAATTATTTAAGACTAACTAACATTTGGCCTTTTGTGGCACTTTAAGTATCGGCTAACATTGAGTTACGTAACTGAAATTTGAGTAATTTGTTCGGTAATAGCCGCATGTTCGGTAATACGCAAAACGCCGTAAACGTATTATTCCAGGTGGGGAACACCAGACATGAGCTTGCAATATTGTTCCCGTGTGGGGAATCGAACCTGGGTCTTTGGCATAACGACTGAACGCTTTAACCACTGGGCCACCCCACCGCCAATCTCGCGAATGTGTGACAATATAACAAGGGCTCTTTCCTTGATCTCTTTCATACTAAAACCTGACTTTATTGCGACAACCTAAGACATGGGCCGCCGTCATTAAGACATGTCGTAAAATAAACACTTGCCGCGGCACTGCTGTATGTTGAGACTCGTGTACGAATACTCAAAACGTCAGGCGTACCAGAGTTCAGAATTGGTAATGAGGCACGCCGTGTATACTGTTCTTCATCGCTCTGGTGATGCACTGACTCATCAACTTTTGTTTGTTAAAACGTATAGACTCACATCCGACAGCAGAAAGCCATATGCAATAGGTAGAGAATCAACGCCATGCATCACTGAAACCAACTTGTATTTGAGTCTTCATTGTCTTCAAGGGGACGATGTTGTAGAGTTTATTTTTAGAGCAGACCTTACGCAATACTAACGTATACATTAAAGTATATTGCTGTATATTGAATATTAAATTTGTTTCTGAAAATATACAGCGATTCCCAACTATAGCTAATGCACTTAGTAACCATACATAGTTCTACAACAGTATTGTGAGGTTTAATGAATGAGAATAAAGAAGGTCCCAAATCTTAGGTCGGCAATGTCTTCACAGTGGTGAAGGAGGAAATATGCCCAAACGGCGACTCCTATACAAACGAGTAATTCTTAGCTCAGATTCATTGTTAATGCTCAGCATTAAAGACCGCATTAGTATTACATAGACACAGCTGTTGAAACAAATAACTACACACTTTACCATCATAATGAACACTGTGCTTACCTCAAAGCTGCCGACGAGCCTGTGTTTGTGCCGGTGATCTGAGGTCGATGTGTAGAGCCTTCTGTTAGCCTGTAGCTCTTCAACAAGGACCAAGATTAAGCTTTTGTGTGTTTACATGTTTCCGTCATGCTTCACTGGATCTTAAATAGCTAAAGGACTGTAGCACCCTAGTGTTGAAATATGTCAATGGAAGGGCTATGGAGGTTGATTCAGATCTTGTAGATCTCGCAACGATGTTGAAGGGGCACGATATCTATGTCGGCTATTTAACATATGGTATATTTGAGACTACACTTTCTCAGCGGTGTGTAGTCATGCATTCCAACTATAAATCAGCCAGCTTGTTGTGGTCAGTATCATCCATCTCTCTACCACTCAGACCCGAAACGTATCCGGTTACTGTAAGCAACTGTCCACAATACATAGGTCACCCTCTTTTCAGCTGTGCAGCCTCAAGTCTAGTGTGTCTCACAGTCCCTGAACCATATTACTTTACCTACTGCCTAGCCCTCCCTGCAGTACTAAAGCCCTAAATGAAGTAAATCTAGATTTCCCCAGGTTAAGGATATGTGGTCTCCCTGGGGCTCCTTTTCAATTGAAATGGGTATATTTATTACAATCAAAATTATATATATTCAGGGGCTAAGCGTTAGTCTACCCCAAGGCAGGTGGAGGGAGGAGGGGTGGTAGGGGTTACAGTGTTCGCTAGTCACGCCGAAAACCTGGGTTCGTCGCTCAACAGGGATACAATGTGTGAAGCCAATTTCTAGTGTCCTGTGATGTATAATGTTGACTTCTATCTCCGCAAAGGCTCTTCAAAAGCACTGGTATAATGTTGTAAATGCAAACACTAATCGGCTGTTGAAAGTGTATCTCGGGCTAACATTAAATGCAAATAATATAGTCTGTATTGTTGGAGAGATATGATATGATATGATATGATATGATATGATATGATATGATGTGATAAGATATGCACGGGGGAATGGTACAGTTTCCCATATAGAACTTTTACAGACCTTGAGGTCATGAACATGCAGGTGCAAGACTTGCAGCCTTGGAATTGTCTTAAAAAGTGTTCATCAAATTTATTCGTTTTTGTAAATTTCAGTACTGTATGAAGCACAAGTATTTCTTTCCGTTAGTGTACATGGGATTTGATTGCACCTCCTAAACTGATTCACCCCGTTACACTCACGATCCGGAACCCGTGAAGATCCGGGTTACAATAGGCCTTGTTGTCTTCAGCCACACGTTTGTCGTACCCCACAAGGGTAGGCTCTCTGTCATAGTTGACACATGTCATCCTATCCCCATTGCGTAGATCGATGGTCATGATGCTGATCACTGGTTCAGACCCGATTATTTACAGACCACCGCCATTCAGCTGGAATATTGCTGTGTGCGGCGTTAAACTACAAACAAACAAACAAACACAATATGGGCGGAAGGAAACCCACCATACCTAGGAACCATGGATATTGTATCATGATGCATATACAAAATGCCCTCTTTATGAAATTACGTCGACATAGTGAGTTTAGTTTTACGCCGCTTTTAGCAATATCACTACGGGGGGACACCAGAAATGGGTTTCACACTTTGTACCCATGTGGGGAATCGAACCCGGGTCTTCGGCGTGACGAGCGAACTCTTTAACCACTAGGCTACCCCCACCGCCCTATGTCGACATAGACTATATGTTAAGGGAGTGTAGAGGGGGCTGGGTATTTCTTTACCCTGGCTACTCACCGTGTTTTGAAGATGAGCATCCGATCATAACAAACAATTCAATATGGCTATGCGTGTAACTGTGCAAATCTGAATCACTTTGTGAACATCCGTGCCTCCTCTGAAAGAGCCTCTTTGTAAATGCAGTTGCACGAGTGGATCACATACATAATGAGAAGTTTTCTAGGTCAACGTATCTTCAAGTAGTCAGCTCATACTGTAGTGTGCAATCTGGTTTTACTGGTTTACGTATTGTTTTACTGGTTTTACTGGAGAGCAGAGCATAGTAAGCATTGGGGAAAGTTCCCTGCATATATTATTAGGGGCTTTGTTCATTTTACTAATTATAAGCGAAGG